TACCATAAAAGCTTTGTAAGCCACTTACTCGAATGCGGGCTGATATGCAATCCTGGGCTCACTGGTAACTGTGCGCCAACTTCGATCACATTTAGATTCAGAATTCCGAATTCCGTCACAACATCACAAATCCCCTGAAAGATCCACGTTGCTGAAGCTTAATGTAAAAAATTGCCGAAATATAGAAATAACGTTACTAGTAACAATTTTCTGAACCCACTCAAGGGAACTCTTTGAGCTGCTAGTTAACAAGGCAAAGTAAAATGAAAAATAAGATGTAAATCTTACAAGTTGTACTACATGTCGCAGTTGATCATCTAGTTGAATGAGATCCACATCTCCTGCTTGCCAAACGGCCACTTGAGCATAGGCGCAAACACCTTAACATTCAAATAAACAAGTCCTTCATTTACAATACACTGTGGCCACCGGTCGTAAATGAAAGTGCTGCAGTAACAAGAATCTATGCTTATAGAGGTGAGAAAGGGATGAAATCCTAAATGCGCGCCATCTAGACCAACCAGGCTTCCTTACCGGCAATCTCACATTCAGAGTTTCACTACATACGATTCTGGTGGAACTAGAATGTGTGGCGCATTCCGAAAAGAAAATTGAATCTTTATCCTGTATTGTTTTTAGCCAAGGTCAACCACGCAAAACGATTGTAATTGAAACAGATATTTTGAAGAATCGCAAAAAGCGATGATTTATAAAGACCTGGAAGAACTATCATCAGATAAAGTGGTGCAGCGATCGATCCTATAAAGGAGAGTTGCATAAATAACAACTGAAACCTAACTCTATATTCGGAGAGCAGTGAATACTGAGCAGAAAGGTTGCTAAATTAAGTAGAGTAGTATTTCTTCTTTTGTTTTAAGGGCTTTCAATAGTCGGAAATCAAGTCATAAAGTTCCGCCCACCTAACAAACTCACCGGGTATTTCCTCCAGATGTTCATATCTAGTTGTATGCGTCATCTCTCTATATGCCACCTCTCGCTCCTCATCAGTACAGAATGTTGGTGCCAAACTCTGATGTGTTGAGATGTTTAGGCGACCCGTTGTTAACGACGCCATTTCACCGGTACCGGTCACAAAACGTAACTCGATCGCAGCAATACCTGCAACGCTTATCGCATAAAGTGGATCGCTGGGAAGGGTTTGAGTTGCAGTTGCTCCAAAACATAGCAGTTTCTCACCAGTAGATCGAGTTCCTTCTTGTGGTGACTTACTTGACAAGTAGATAGAAAATTGGAACATATGAGTCTGGTTGTTTTCCAGTAAAAGGTAATGGCTGGAAAACAGAACGCTCCCCCGTGCACGTTCCTCCCGAGCCGTAATCCTCCTGAAACAAGTGGAAGAACTTTTACAAAGCTCAACGTTATTGCGGATACTCGCTCTGGATCCAATCGCTTTCACGATATTTTACGAAATAGAGGACGCCGGGCGTATACCTGTATCATTGCTGATGGCATCACTGCCTGCATGTGCTGATGTGTGTAGTAGTTGAGCGGCTGCAGCAGTTGAGACATCGAGTTCGGTATCGAGTAATTGAACACACCTGCTGGTGATGCTGGATCGCGTTGAAGGAACTGAAAACACTCCGAGTTGGAGAAATCTTCTCAAGTACTGAAAGCATCAAGAACAGAACAGTACGTGCAGCTGCACCACGTACTTGAACATCGGCGCTGTCCAGCCTCGTCTGTGTATTTTTAGCCAATGTATCGATGAGGTGACTGAGTGTGACATGATCGAGGCGTTTTCTGAAGAACATCAGCCAACACCTCACAAATTTCTTGCGCTGGGGTCCCACCATATACTGCCAGCAGGACGTGTGTCTTGAAACGCTCCACTTCTCTGAAAATATTGCAGTATAATGAACTCTTCTTTTCCAGTAAAAATGCCCTTCTTTTTTTCAGCTCATAAATCTGTCATGTTCGCTAGATTACTTTACCTTTACTTGATCTCGCCATTATAACAAGTGGAAAGACCGCCCCTCTGCAAGCATTTCTTTAATATACGAAGTACTATTGACATTTTATTTGGTTCACTCCACTTCATGAAAAGACTGCGCCTTCACTTCTGAGCTGGTTCCACAAAACTAGATCCTAGGTATCAGAATTGTTGGCGTAACGCTGGGAACTCTCAGCGAATCTGTGCTATAAGCATAAGCATTCACGCGCGACCAATTGGGCAGGACCCCGTTCAAACTCCCGTCAAAGGGCATTATCTAGGTAAGAGAGCGTAGACGAGGGCCGAAAACAGTCGCGGCCCAAACGACTCGAATTTACGACCTTTGGCACTAAAACATCGCCGTGATATACATTAACATGTGCACCTAACGATAGTCGTGAACTCTAAAGATATCTTTGTTGAATTTTTAACTTATAACAAAACACATTTAACCATATCTTCAAAGGTAACTTACTTTGGCTCTTTGTTCTTTTTCACGTTTATTCGATGACGTTTCAGCGATGCGTTGAAAGTCTCTATCGATGTGTGGAGTTGCATATACGAAACACTGCCATCGGACTCCCTTGAAAGAAGATTTTGTGAATTTTTAAAGTTTCGAAGACCACAGCTTTCCTCAGAAGCAGTCGTGTTCAACTTTCACATGGCATCTTTATCTCTGCCATTCAAATTCCAAGGCAAATTTTCACTTTCAGATTTGCACGTTGGCTATTACGCGAGGAAAAAAGTTTGTAATTCACTTCCAATCACATATAAACCATACTCACCTGACAACATACGTATTCGGCCTGTTACGTATAGAAAACCTCTCGAGTGACATCCGCAACGCATCGCAACCAATCGCTAACGGGTCGCGTCCACTACCACGTGGAAGCCGCAGGCGTGGATGGATTTCAAACCTAGAATTATTCCACTTTTTTGCTAACTGAAGGGTCAAAAATCGCGTCACACAGCTGAAGGCGCAGGTTGAACTGACGAAGTGCGATAAACTATTTTTGTGACCACATCAGAAAACAAGCTCAGCACCTTAACATAACTGCGTAGCACCAGATAAAAATCTTTGTGTGCCCAGCGCAACCTTTGCCTCAAAGCTTCACTGCAACAATAATCGTTGATCACTCACCATAACTTCTTCTGTAGTGGACAAGCAAAATAACCCGGTGGAAAAGTAAAACGGGCACCATGAGTGATATGAGTATCCAGTTCTTGGTCTTCTGACACTTAAATGAAACATAAATGGAAACATTTTAGTTCATTAGAACTTAACAAATTTAAAACAATATTGACAAAAATCAGAGGCTTTTATTCTCTCCAAAACCTGGAGAATGACTCCAGGACTTCGGACTCTGCGAGAACGTCGAAAACACAGCTAATTGAAAAAAAAATTCAAAAAAGTAAGATGGGCAGAAGGTGGACTCTCAAATAAACAAATAAATTCTCAGAAATACTTTAGAGAAACCGCTATCTGAACAATGAATGCTTTAGTTCAGGAGGGCTGTGGCAATAAGAGATGCTTCTGTTATACACACTGCTGAAGCGCTGAGGGAGGGGGGAAGGGG